TTTTTTTTTTTTTTTTCTTTTTCGTGCCTATACAGAATCCTCCTCCGGTAACGCGCGCCGTCTCTCCGCGCGGACGAAAATCCTGATCGACGAGCCCGTGTCGTGCACGCGGTCCACTTCCGCGGCTTCCGCGATTCCTCGCTTTCCGCGCCGCGGGATTATCGATCGCCGCGGTGAATGTGTATACGGTGTCTGAGATCAGCCGCCGGAGAGGAGGCTTCGCTTTGCGCGTTACCGCTAGCGGGTACTGCGGACAAAACGAAAGGGGGGAGCCCGTAAGGCGGAAGGAAGGGAAGGCGCGCAAACACGTCGTCGACGTCGTCGTTGGTCGTTGTGTGTCGTGAAGAATCGTCCGAGGTCGAGCACGGAGCGAGCGTCGATCGCATCGAATAAGCGTTGACAGTATCGTCGGCACTGGTCAGCACGGGCGACTGGGGGAAAGCGGAACCTTGAAAAGCTGGGTGGTGGTGGTGGTGGTGGTGGCGGCGATGCGAGCGTTGCGATGGTGGGAACTCTCTCGGTCTAAGATGGCGTAGCGTTCTGCTACGACGCTAACGACGCATGAGTATCAGCGAGCTGAGCGAGCATCGAGGACGATAAGTTTTCTGGGATAGGATAATTTGACTCGGTTGATTTTCCCGCGCACGCACCTCGCCGTGACGGCCGTTCCACTCCCTCTTTTGTACCCTCTTGGCTGTTACGTGTGTGAATATTGTACGCTGTATTTATAGCGCTTACGGAAATAGGTGAGTATATACGTAACGTTATCGCGCGGGCCGCTTCCTGGCACGTGAGCCTCCGATTCCACTCTCTGGTGAGTTTCCTTTCACGCGTTGCAGGCTTCGAGTACATGTAAGACAACGCGAAGATGAGTCTACCCTGTGACTGGCAAACCAGCAAGCAGAAACTGTCAGAGCGTGGCCAGCATCTACTGGAGACTGGACAATGGTCCGACTGTAATTTCATCGTCGGCCAGGAACCCCAACAACAGACTCTCAAGGGTCACAAGCTGTTCCTGGCCATGTCCAGCCCGGTCTTCGAAGCCATGTTCTTTGGTGGGATGGCAGAGAAAAACGACCCGATACCGATAAGGGATGTTCAGCCTGAGGCATTCAAGGCCCTATTAGACTACATATATACGGATAAAGTCGAGCTGGGTTCCTTCGAATTGGCCTGCGAGTTATGTTACTGCGCCAAAAAATACATGCTGCCATCCTTAGTAGAAGAATGTACAAAATATCTGTGGTGTGATCTCTCGCCGAAGAAAGCGTGCAGAGCGTACGAGTTTGCCAAGCTTTTTGAGGAGCCTGTTCTAACGGAGAAATGTCTGCAGATCATACGTACCAAGACGGATCAAGTGTTGAAGGAAGCCAGCTGGGAGGACGTAGAGCTAGGAACACTTCTTAAGGTCTTGGAACAGGACGACTTGCAGATCAGTTCGGAAATAGAATTATTTACCGCAATGGAACGATGGGCCAAAGCAGAATGCTCTAGAAAGTCTCTTGATCCAACCAATGGCAAATGTTTAAAATCCGTCATTGGAAATGCCCTCTTAAAGATAAGGTTTCTGAGCTTGACACCACAAGAATTCGCAGAAGGTCCTGGCATGTCTCCTTTGCTGACAAAAGATGAGGCTTTTGCTATATTGATGAACATCCTATGTACTGGCAATAAGACACCTATGCCTGAAGGTTTTTGCACGAATTCAAATAGCAGAGCGAAACCAGTTAAGACTCACTCCTTGAATCTTGGACACTCCACAAATTTGGGGGTGTTTCCTGTAAGTATTACTTTTTTCATAATTTTATATTTTTTTGTAATTAATTTAATTATTTACAGTTCTTAAGATGTTTAGATTAGCATCAAATTATTATTATTCTTCCAATATTTTTATTAACATCAAAATTATTAAATTGCTTGTAAATTTAATATGTGATATTATTTTTGTTTTGTTTATAATTGCGTTTCAGAACCGAAAACGATTTCGACGTGTGGTTTATTGGCTATTAGAGTCACAAATCAGGGGAATGTCATCAAGGAATTTAGCACACTTGTTAGGGAAAATAAAATAACTGTAAATAAATTTATATTGTCTTGTGCTTCTATGATTGGTTTGGACTACTTTTTTTTTTTTTTTTTTTTTTTTATGTATTATTCAAAGTCAGGAAAAATCTCAAAATTTTTCCAGTAAATCAGGGAAATATCACGAAATTTTACGATTAAAAATTTGTGGCAACCCTGATCAGGGAAATGTCAGGAAATTTTAGGATGAAAAATTTGTGGCAACCCTGAATATACACCATTTCCAAGAAAACTGCTAGTTTAATGTTTAAGCTGGACCATTAAAAAACAACGCAAGGGCAAAAATAAACAAAATTGAATTTGTATTAATTTGTACCATTGAAAGTAAGTTAATATTTTACACAAAATCTATGTGAATCTGCAGCACTTGACTTTAAGAAAAAAAAAATTTTTAATCAGCTTTAAATTAAGTTAAACATTTTTGTAAGTGAAGTGTCGGGTTTTACGTAGGTGATCTAAAGATAATTAGAAAATTAAAAATAATTTTACAGTTTATATATCCGATACAAATTCTATTATAAATATTATAAAATAAAAGAATTTAAAAAAAAAGAGTTATGTAGAGTATGACAAAAAATACATAAACTTCAATGTTCTTTGTAATAGATTAATAAAGCTGCTGTTATTTCTGATTTTTCTTTAATAACTTTTTCTTTTTTCTCGAAGTCATTATATTCGATCCATGTATCTGCTCTTTAACAAAGAGCTGGCATTTTATGGCATTATTTTTTTTTCTTTTATTTTAAATTGGTCCTGTCAGCTTAATATTAAGCTGGCAGCGCCACGTTTTTTTCAAAATGGCATAAGGTACGAAATTTTTATTGGTGGTACAAATTAGTACAAAATAAGTACTATAAATTCCAATAGGTCTGATTTGATTCAGCTCATTTTGCCAGCTTTATAGAGCTATTTTTCTCATTGAATCCATTTTCTTATATAGATGATGACTTCAAGACATATGTTTGCTCCGTATGGCAATTTAAATATTCCTGTACGTTCTGGCTTTTCAAATGATGGAGAATCTAGCAGTAGTACGATGCGGAACACATCGCCGATACTAGTGGATGCCAGCATAAATAAGGACTCTGGAAACTTGCCCAATACTTCTTCCACAGGAGTAGTTGTCCGCGAGGGACCAAAATATTATTGTTTAAGATCAATAGTTCAACAAACGGATTGCTTGAATACAAATGTGTTGGACTGTTCCGTCACATTCAGTGTAGATAAAAATATTTGTGTGGTGGGTGTACAGGTTCCTACTCAAATTGCGGCGGTAAGCTAGAGATTATATATATGTACTTTACTATAATCCGTCCAGTATACATATACCGCTTGTATATCTCACTTGTTTCATTTATAGGCGAGTAATTTCACTCACGCTATAGATGCCGATTCGTCTTATACTGAAATTTTATACGCTCATCTCCTTGATTGCGATGGTACCAGATTGACGTATACACATTTTACTACTAAAGCAAATTTTGGTACTCTCGTGGAAATCACTTTCAATCGACCAGTTTACATTCAAAAGCACAAGGTTTGTCATTGCATTATAATTACTTTTTCCACTATGTACAATCAACTACGTGTATCTTAAATTCATAAAACAATATCTTTTTGTATATTCTCAAGCATCAAAATTTCTCATTTTTAAGATATTTTTAATTGATAATTGTATTAAAGTATTCTCTTCTTAACAGGTTTATCGAGTTGGCGTCGTATTTAATAAGGCTGGATGGTATCCAGTAGGAGTCTGTGCCCAAAACATGTCCTGTGATTCTGTGTTCTTCTCGTTCGGTGTAGGTAATACTGCACATGCAGTTCGTGATGGTCTTATTCGATCTATAGTTTTCACATATCATTAACACAACGAAACAGGTGACAAATAAAATAGTATACATACTTTACATTTATTGTGATAAGATAGAAATATACTCTTATGTTGTACATTATATTTATTATCGTTATCTTACTTCTTAAAGCTCATCTTGTCTTTCATTGCAACTTTCATAATCTTGGTGAAATTTTGTTAATATGTTCATTGATTCTAGTTATAAAGATACAGTTTATTTTGTAGAAGTTTTCTTTAATACAGTTAATATTGATGTTATATTGTACAATGTACTTTACAAAATGACGAATCTGAATTTGACTATTTAAATATTTTTATTATCTTGCCCCTTTTTTACATGATATAAATTTGTTCATACTTCTATTTTTTTAATACAAAAACAATTCTTAAAAATACAATATAAAAGGTTAAAAAAATTATATAATTTAAATTTTCAAACTAACAATTTTAACTATACCTGTTATAAACAAATCTCTCACACACGTACATATATACACACACACACACTCTCCCTCTCTCTTTAATAATTACATAAAATACATATAGGCTTATATATCTATATTGTTTTTTTCTAAATATATATTTGCGATTTCTATAATATCAAATACTGTTACGATAAAACATTTTATAAAATAGAATCAGTCTATACACAAATATATTTATGTTTAACTTTTTACAATATTATGAAAGGACTCATCGTTATGTCATCCCATATTCGTGGCACT